ATTTCAAACTTCAAATAACCTGCCACACAGTTTGTGAACAACACGCCTCCATTCATCTCTGGTTCCTTCCCCAAACAAGTTCCTGAAATTAAATACTTATAACTCTACCCCACAACACATGAGGGACTATTAATTTTTATGAGAAATCATTAAGAATTTTAGTTGTGGTCATATAATATTTCCACCAAAACAAGCTTATATCATGAACATGAAACTGAAATTATTTATAGACTCTGAAAATATCAATCACTCCTTCTTCATAAATTCAATTTCATCTTACCTTCAAACTTGGTTACCAAATCCTTTGGACTACTAAATTGTAGCATGCTTTTTCTTGAGTAAATAATAAACATTCTTAGCTCCAGTGTTTTGTTATTATTACCTTCAATTATAAAAAAGACACTTTGGATTTACTATTTTTTATAATGAATTCCTAGAATTTCTATATCTTTTTTTTTAAGATTGTATTTATTTATTTGAGAGAGAGAAAAAGATAGAGAGTGTGCACACGCCCATAAGCAGGGGGAAGAGGCAGTGGAAGAGGGAGAAGCAGGCTCCCTGCTCAGATGTGGGACTTGGTACCATGACCCTGAGATCATGACCTGAGCCAAAGGCAGACACTTCACCAACTCAGCCACCCAGGCGCCCCTAGAATTTCTATATCTTGATTCACTGATCCAACCTCAGTGGATCTCAAGGGTGCGTGAGGGCAGCCTATCACACAGGGCCCACAACTCCTTTTACACAGTATTGTGTAATGACAAACTGTGGAGGGGGAGAGCAGATAGGGGCTCTCAGGGGTCAGGGAAGGGGGAGGAGGTACCCTATGGATGGAAATGGTCTGTATCGTGGCAGTGCCGGTGGCCCCAGGAATCCACACATGACAGAATCACACAGATCTGAACACACACAGACACACGAGTGCAGTGGGTGGATTGGAGTGATGCAGTCTTCTGCTTATACCATATGTTTTGTCAGAAGTTATCATTGGGGAAATCTGGGTGAAGAATCTGTGGGATTTCTCTGTATTAGTTCTTATAACTACATATGAGTCTATAATTATCTCAAAAGAAAGTTTTAAAAATTCAATATAAAAGCTTATTGTTTCCCACTAAGCCCTTATTTTGTGTAATGATCACCATTTATGTTGCAGAACAAGGAAAACATCCCCCTGACATTTTTTTATATTTTAAACTAGGAAACGCCCTAAACCAGAGCCAAAGGTTTTCAAGATGTCTCTGCTATAGTAAAACACAAGATTACTTTTCATTTAGAGCAACAGCAAAATCAGTACTTTTTTTTTAAAGATTTTATTTATTTGAGAGAGAGAGAGAATGAGATATAGCACGAGAGGGAAGAGGGTCAGAGGGAGAAGCAGACTCCCCGCGGAGCAGGGAGCCCGATGTGGGACTCGATCCCGGGACTCCAGGATCATGACCCGAGCCGAAGGCAGTCGCTTAACCAACTGAGCCACCCAGGCGCCCAAAAATCAGTACTTTGAACACAACCCACCCCCAAAGGTTTCATTTACACATTTCCAACATTAATTAAAACACATATCCACAGCTTTGCCAAATTTCTAATGGGTGTTGCTTGCTTGATAAATGCAGAACACGATTCCCAAAACTTACCTTAAAACTGATGAGACTACTCGATCAAGAACAAAAACATTTAATAAATGTCTTAAGTTATTCAGGATAAAAAGGCAAATGGGTTCACCATTAAGCCCACTCAAAAAATCAAAAAACAAAAAAAAACTTCCAATATTTTCAGGGGCGCCTGGGTGGTTCAGTCAGGTCCAGTTCAGCCAAAACCAAGAGCGTCCGACTCTTGGTTTCAGGTCAGGTCATGATCTCATGGATGGTGGGGGTTGAGGCCGGTGTCAAGCTCCACACTCAGCAGGGAGTCTGCTTGAGATTCTCTCTCTCCCTCTGTCCCTCCCCCACCACACACACGCTCTCTCAAAATAAATAAATAAATCGTTAAAAAATAATTTCCAATACCTTTAATTTACTGTCGTATGAAAATCACATTACTCTTATTCTCTCGAAAATCTTTAGTAATTCAGAGATGTTATGTCATTTATTGGATAAAAAGCTCAAAATCAAAGCACAATAATGTAGTCTAAAACCAGCCTTTTTCGGAGCAAAGTCACCCAGGTTAAAGATTTCTCCCACATGCCTCTAACTCTGAGCTCTATCAGGACTGCAGGGCATGTAAAGGGCCTATTTCCTTAGACATCTGGTATAAGACAGAGTCCTAGGGTCCTGGGGTTGCTGAAGTCCCTTCAGGGAATGGGGTTGGGGAGGCAGAGGGGGAGCGGAAACAGAAGGAGCAGGAGCTCCTCTATTTTTTTCAATTTTCTATAATGGGCTAAAATTTGAAAACCTCATGGCTCTGCCTCCCAGCCTTTTGCTGATGTGTAGCGACAGGATCCTCCATCATCTCTCTTCCTCTGGACCTTCCAAACCCACTTTCTCCAATTTTCCTGATCAAACTGCTAAGAAGAATCTAGTTCATTCACCTTACTAGTACAGCAACCACTGTCTGTCCGGCAGAGGCCAACCCAGCCAGGCTCCAGCACAGCACTTCGGGGGAACCCCAGCCACATCCACTCAGCTGAACCGAGGCCCTAAGTGTGGGGCGTACTGACCTGGTACCCACTGCGGTGCCTGGCGCCCTGTGCAGGAGATCCCAGAGCAAGCAGTGTGGGCGTGCAGGAATAAAGTTAGCAACCAACACCGGTCATTCAGCTTCTTCTGAAAAAGGAAAACATAAAGATCATTTGGAGGAAATGGTTGAACGTTGGAATTTCTTTGTGATACCAGCACAACACAGTAAGGAACAGGAAACAAAAGCTGCACTCATGGAAAGGTCTTGGGGAGCAAACTCCCCAACGGAAATAACCTACCTCAATCTAATTCGGGGAGGATTTTAAAGAGGAACAATTTGAATGACAAAAGTATAACTCTTAAAAGATAAAACACATAATCTTATAAATACAACTTCCAGATTTATATCTAATTTGTAAAATAAGTAGAGAACGAGTTCATAGAAAGGAAAATGAATGAAGCTAAATTCTTACGGACATGAAAAAGCTTTAGAGTACTTAATGTTAACTAAACTACAAAAACTACGTACTCCATTAAGTCATCCAACCCTTGATATACTATTTTTTAAAAAGTTGACATTATAAAAAAAGACTTAGAACCAGTAAGACACTCTGATCCAAGAACGACCACAAAGATGTTTGAAGGAGGCCGGGCCACCCCCCCAGACAACTGTGGCCTCACGAGCGAGCGGCGGAGCTGACCCAGCTCCCTTCCGCTCGTTCGGCGCGTGGGGTCAGGTAAGGTCCCGAGAGCGCCGGGCGCAGGGCCCGTAAGGGGGCCCCCGCCCTCCCTCCACGGCCAAGAAGGCAGGCACGGGGTCAGGGGGACCGGTCAAGGCCTGCTGCTGGGGAGCGGTCGGCCGGCGCGCGGGCCCCTCCCGGCTTCTGCAGCCGGGACGCCGAGCTGGCCTCGGAGACCGGCCGCAGGCGCTCCCCGCCCTCGCCCAGGGGCTGCGGACCTGCGGGGGCCGCCGAGGGCGCCTCCAGAGCCGCGCGGGCGGACCGCGCCCCACCCTCCGCGGGGCTCCCCTCTCCCGGAGTAGCT